TACGAAATAGATAATTGAAAAACAATTTGATCCTTTTTCCACAATGGAGAAATGTGCATATCAAACAGTAAGACAATGAATACGGGACTAGTGTTCGTTTGTTGTTTTTCCTGTTTATATTTAAAAATAAAAATATACTGCATGGTTTTTATTTCAAATTATGCCTATTGGCGACAATTTATTTTTCCTTTTAATAAAATATTTTACGTGCTCTTTGTTTCAGATTTACGGCTTCTTGTCAGCAAGAAGAAAAGTGCAGAAAAAGAGGAAAAGACTGCAAGAAATTCGTTTCCAATTGTAATCAGTAACGGTTAGAAACAAAGTAAAAACAAAAAAATAAGTCAACAAGTATTCACAGCTCTGTGTCAGTTATGAATGCCATTAGAATCTACAGCATTTACGCGTGCGCCGTTGTGAGCAGTCTTTCTCGTTGTACAACTTTCCAGCTACCCACCCAGCTCCCATCACCGGGAAGAGCTCCTGTCTTGAGTTTACCAAAGGACACGGGAACAGTCCAGGATTCACACGATGTGTATATGTACAACGAAACGCCATCGTCTGAACACCAGTCATGGCAACTACAACTTAATCCGCTCGACGAATCAAGACCCACGTCTGAGACTCATGTCATGATGGTGTCGAAAGATTCAAAAGTGAGTGTAGCTGCGACTAAATTTCCTACCCCTCAGTTCCCTACATTTCTGACTGAGACTATAAAAGAGGGGTCATCGAGAAATGTAAAACAAATACGGAAAAAGACGAGACCGTGTACGTTCAATTGTTGCGTCTTTTGTCTACCACATCCTTCCCTGAAGGTCAAGACCACGCGTCGTGAGAGATCAGCAGGCCCCAGACAATGGGCAATGTTCGTGAAGTCCTCGCTTGACACAGGAGAACCCACTCAGGCTTCAGTAGGGCATCCTTCAATACGTGACCTGGACAACCGCCGCCGACGAGTCCGTGGAACAACTATTGATTTCAATTTCCGTCCATCTCTCCCGAAAGATCTTGACTCCCCGTTCTTCCGAGTCAGCGAAAAAAGAAAAACCTTTCAGACGAAGGGAGAGAACCATAGCACACATTTTGGCAACGAGGTTTCCGCCCAGAACACCTACAAAGACACTACAGACGCGGAAGTTGACAAATCGGTAAAGTCTCTCTCTCAACGTCGATATGAATCACACATTGCCGAGTTGAAGCCAAGAGTTCACACACACAATGGTCGGTCATCTCAGCAACTAACAGAATCTCAGGCCGCTAGATTAGCTAATGTTAAAGACTGGGCAGCGCTATTAAGAATGTCTGCAAGATTTCACCATCGCTCTCGTCGTAGAATTCCGAGATCAAAGTTGATCATGCCTTCTCAAAGCTTCAATGTACCTTCTCACGGTCCTGGACCATCTGCATCTCCGGAGTATCACCAAAATAAGGCGTCTTCTCCAGAAAAGACAATACCCACGAGGAGCGACGCGGAAGACGTGAGCGCAATCACCGAGGAGTCTGACCTAGATACAGGAGAATCTGTTACTGGGAGCACCGTGTCCGTCGTTGACGTCACAAACCAGATGTGCACTGCAGACTACAACAGATACTGGCATAAACTGAAGAGTATAAACTGCGTGGGCCAGCAGTTCTCCAGTCTCAAACCCTGGGAGAAAATCTTTGTGCCTGACGTGGACACCTT